TAGGAGAAGGATTTTAAATTCTATTCTGAATTTTACAGGGAGCCAGTGGAGAAAAGCTAATATGGGAGAGATATGATCTCTCTTGCTAGTTCCTCCTAGTTCCTGTCAGTACTTTGGCTGCAGCATTTTGGATTAACTGGAGGCTTTTTAGGGAATTATTGGGACATCCTGATAGTAAAGAGTTACAGTAGTCCAGCCTGGAAGTAACATATGCATGGACCAGTTTTTCAGCATCACTTTGAGACAGGATGCTCCTGATTTTTGCAATATTGAGCAGGTGAAAAAAGGCAGATCTAGAGACTTGGTTTATGTGTGATTTAAAGGACATATTCTGATTAAAGATGACAGAACAAAACAAAAAAACACGCCCACCTGTCATCCCTCTTATACCCTCCCGCACCTGTTCCTCTCCCCATCCCACATTAGCCAGAACAGCGCGGCATTTCGCAGAAAACAGCGGTAACACACACAGTAAGTGGTAACCAATACATGCACAGCTTTCACAACAGTGTCAAACCCATTTGCACACAACACCAGATGCCCTTCCTGCCGTAACCCTGACTCGAACCTGGGCTGTAGCCGTGAGAACACTGTGCCTTAACCACTAGCCTACCAGGAATACATTATTATAGCAGCAGCCATCCACTTCACCAGCACCACTTCAGCCTCATCCTCCAGCACCAGCAGCAGCCTCCACAGGTATTTCATTTTTATTAGATTTTGAACAAGGCATGACTAGTGACATTTCTGGTGATGATGATTTTAAATATTTTCCAGGTGCTGACCTGTGGAGACTTTTGGATCACGATGCACACAGAGCCAGGCACATGCAAAGCACCACAGCTAATGCAATTGTGGAAGTGAACTGATACCTGGCTGATCCTCCCCTGGAAAGAACTGATGACCCCCTCACATACTTGGCCACCCATAAAACTGTTTACCCAAACCTCTATAAATTAGCCCACCACTTCCTGTGTACCCCAGCCTCATCTGTGCCATGTGAACAGGTTTTTTCCAAGGCTGGGGAAATAGTCTGTAAAAGGAGAAACTGCTTGTGCCTGAACACTGTGGATTTACTGTTATTTCTCAATAAAAACTCAAACCAGCTGTTTGAAGGCCACTATATGCTAACCTCTGGACATAGGAATAAAGCTTACCTCTCACACTAAGGTGGCATATTTGAAACATATTTGAAACATATTAAACACTGCTTGAGGTTGTATGACGGAGATATTCACTCAGTAATTGACTACCATGAACCTGCGAACAGAGTTCCCTGCAGACCTCCCTCTTTCATGTTATTAATTCGGGCTAAGACCTCAAAACCTCCCAAATAACAACAACCTGCAGTTTATTGTGGCAGCTACCTCCTTAAACCCTCAGATGTCACTGTACAGAGACATTTTTATAAACCAGTACACTCTGGCTCTTTGAGGAAGTGTTAAATTTAGTCTAAAATAACCAATGAAAGCTGTGTCACTGGACACTTAAGACCATATTTGTTTTGCACAGTATTTAGTTGACATAAGATGTTATTGAGGATAGGATATTTAAAGAATAGTGGGTATTATGTAACAAGTAAACAGTTGGATATTTTAGATAAACCCTTTTCTGTCTAAAATCATGTTAACAGTTCAATCTTGGCCTTCTAACAACACTGTGAACTATTATCCAGCCTCAGATACTCACTAAGACTTGGGTAGTCACACTCACTGGGAATTGTGCAATATGTGCAACTTTAACCATTACCATTTAAAAGTGTAAACCCACTAAAATCACAGGGATGTCAATAACATCAGACTTGACTAAATAACCACAGAGAGGATTAAACCTTTTCAGGAATTTTATATAGAAGCTTAACAGAGCTACAGCAAAGCAACAAGCAATAAAATATAAACCTTAAAATCATCAATAATTGTCTTAATTTGCTTACAATCTAAATAAACCAACAACTACTATTTCTAAACATAAATCTAGAATGATCATACTGATTAAAATTATTATGGTTGAGCTAAGCTCTTGATCTGAACAACAAAGATTTTTCTCACACAATCTGGCTCTCAGCTGGCTCTGGGTAGGGCGGTGGCCGATTGGGCAGTCGTTTGTTCCTCTTTTTCCTTTTTGCCATGATTCAAGCCTTCACAAGGAAAATAATTTATAAACACAAATATCAAAGCTCCTCCAGTTCAATGCTCAAAAGTCTCAAAGAAGGGAAGGCTAAATAGGACAAATTCAGATAAACAATGTTTTTCTTAGTCAAATCTTCTGTGACTCAGGAAAACATAAAAGACATGAAAATGTCTAAAACTGTCTCCTTTTGGTCCAAATCTTCAAAAAGACATGAAAAGGTCTAAAACTGTCTCCTTTTGGTCCAAATCTTCATAAAGACATGAAAATGTCTATAAACTGTCTCCTTTTGGTCCAAATCTTCATAAAGACATGAAAAGGTCTAAAACTGTCTCCTTTTGGTCCAAATCTTCAAAAAGACATGAAAAGGTCTAAAACTGTCTCCTTTTGGTCCAAATCTTCATAAAGACATGAAAAGGTCTAAAACTGTCTTCTTTTGGTCCAAATCTTCATAAAGACATGAAAAAGTCTAAAACTGTCTCCTTTTGGTCCAAATCTTCATAAAGACATGAAAAGGTCTAAAACTGTCTTCTTTTGGTCCAAATCTTCATAAAGACATGAAAAAGTCTAAAACTGTCTCCTTTTGGTCCAAATCTTCATAAAGACATGAAAAGGTCTAAAACTGTCTTGTTTTCAAGCCATCCTTTCCCCACCAGGCCGGGCGGATTGTGGCTTTTTGTTAAAATTCTTCATTTCTTCATCAATCATCTTTGAAGCAAGAATTCAGTTTCCGTGCTGAACTGTGAGGCTCTGCCACAGTTTCATCGTTTATTTCACATTTTATTCTTACACATGTACTAATGATTATTTCAACAAACACACATAAATCATCTTATATTATCTTTACTTATTAAAAGCTTAACTTTTCTAAGCATTCTGCCACAGCATTTTAATAATAATTCCTTTGTCTTCTCCAACCTCCCCGGGAACTTCCTCTTTCTCCTCTGTATCTCAGTGCTCTTTGAAGCCCATTTTTACAGCCTTGCTGACAAAGCACACCCTCTTTACCCACATACCCATGAACACCAAAATACTCTTTGCCCAGGTCCATACTATAATCTGTATTTGCACCAGTCCCATGTGCGAATGACATCTGTATGAATCTGTAGAACACATCTCATGAATGTAGCAGCACAATTTACATGTCTCATAACACAAAATATAAGTGAGGAGCATATAGGGTTACACTCAGACGTGCCAACTAAGACACATGGTCTTCACCATGAGTCCAAGTTTATTTTATATTTTATTGTCACCTTGAAACCCTAAAACCATGTAGTGTTTTCGAACAGGAATGTGCATGGCGAATCAAATCCCAAACAATCCATGAACCAATAAGTGACACATCTTGTTTGCACTTCATTTTCTTGACCACTAGATGTCCTACTGGAGCACTGTGTCATTGAGACCTGGAGTAATGAACCATTTGTGTGAATACTGTGTCGAAGCTTCAACAAAGCCTCGATCACCCATCACTACCCATGATGCTCTGAGTTTCTCCCCTCCCCTCCCCTCTCCTTTCTCCCTATGCTTGTATATGCCACCATTACTCATCACTAACTTTGTGTCTCCTCTCTCCCTGTACCTTTCTGCAGGTTGCCCTGGCCCTGGAGCTCTATGTTTCTGATGAGCAGTCACCGGCCACATCAACCTGACCAGTGTTTGATTGTTTGTTGTCTTATTGCTTTTCTTCTTTTGTCCTGTGTTAGGCTGATTCTTACATCATGCACGTCATAGTATGTCCCTTTAACCTCTAGAGTCCTGAGCTTTGGAAACCCAAGCTGTGCGGTCCTCATATGAGGACGCAGGGACTCTAGAGGTTAATACAGTCAGGTGGACAAAAAACAATGACCTGCTGGTTGCAGATGAGATCAGGTTTACACTTTGCTTTGTTTTGTTTTTTTTACCCAAGATAAAGTTCTCTTAACCCTACACTGGCCACAGAGCAATTTGAATCCAAAATCTGAAGTACCTAAAACATCTGGCCAGCATACCCTGTTTGGTATCACTCACTGCATATAGTATCAAAGCACATCTGTTTCAGTAATAACCTAACTTCAGTTTTCAAATTTTTCTCATGTTTCTTTATTCAGTAATCAGTGTCCAAACACATTCAGATCCTGTCATCCTTTTATTTGGGCAACGTTGTCTATAGCCCCTGCAGGGTCCATTTTGTGCAACAGAAAGTGTCCTTGCACTTGAGCAGCACTGATTTCAGAGTGGGCGGCTAACGCACACTCCGCAAACCGCTCCCCTTCAGAGGCAGGCTCCTTTGGGTAGAACCGCTGGAACATCTGGGTGAGCTGCCAATGTGTGCAGTGGCCAATGTACTGCTTCAGATCCACACGGCCGGGTCGGATCAGCGCTGCATCTAACCTGTGTGCAGAAATCTGGAAATTAATGCCTTGAAAATAGCTCTGTGCTGCAGCTTTAAATTCTATTTTCATTCAGTTTTGGTTATTAGATTTCACTGTCTTTGCAGTTTTAGTTAGTTCATTTTACTGTAAAGGTACTTTAGACTAAAACATGTCTTCATTCATTCATGTCATTTCCTCCACTATCCAGTTTCATTAGTGCTTTCAATTTGTATTTTATTTGATGTTAAAGTAAAGATGTTTTACTCTAACTCCAGCAGTACCTGTCAATGAAGTTGGTGGTCATAAAAACTATCCTGGCCTCAGATGAAGCCACTCCATCCAGAGAGTTAAGCAGGCCACTGAAGGTCAGTCTTCCCATTCCCTGGTAGGCCAGGGGATCTGAGGCAAAGACAAAAGTGATTTGAAAGTGACCCTTAAATCAGAAACAAACAGTTTCTGTCTGAACGTCCACAGCTTCAAAAGGTAGTTACCATTTTAATTTCTTACACCCAAAAATGTAACCTAATGCATAAATGAAAATATCTTATCATTTAAAATAAATAAGAATTACATTTTGGTTAATTATTAACAACAATAACTAACTGTTTATACCAATTTTAAAACCACTGGGCCTTCCTTGCTACCTACTCTCTGTGGGAAGCAGCTCTCGGCTGACAAACGCTGCATCTATATCCTCCAGCAATATGATACTTTGCTGCGGCGCCACGGTCAGGAGGTGGTTCAGACGGTCATCTGAAAGGGTTCGGTCACTCAGACTCATCAGACAGATGCTGTAGCCCAGCTCGCCTGCCAGTGCTGTGCTGAAATACAGAATCACCAACAGCAGATATACACAGAGTTTGATGTGCGAGTGCACAAATTAATTAATTACACAGAGTCTAAATAGGAATGGAGACTATTTTTTTATAGTAGAACACTCACATGAAGCTGCTTTTTCCACATCCTGGGGGTCCATACAGCAGATATCCTCTCCTGTAAGGGATACCTGCTCAAAGAAAGCAGCATCAGTGTTAAAAAGATAATTTAACTAAATATTTTAGTTATTATGGAACGGTTCCTTTGGTACTCCACATGAGTTACAGATTGGACACGTTACATCACTGCCACCATTTTCCAAGCATCTTAAAAGTCAGTACGGTATGAAAATCATCTTGACAATGTGACTTTTTCTTTTGCTTATATAAAATGTATGTTATTTTTTCTTCTTTGGTTGGTGTGTTCAGGTGCACACTGGGCTCTACAAATGACACTTCAATAAACTGTTTGGGCAGCTGGGTCTCTAGAATCTCAAATCAAAGTCTCTAAGTGTTTTCAAACCAAGACAACTTCCAACTGCAACACCCCAAGACAAACTTTCATTTACACTGTAGAACAAATAGGTCCTACCTCTGTCTGTGTACCACTTGGGGTTTCCAATGAAGTCCTTCACATCATCTACAATCTTTTCAGCCACACCAGCTTCCAGGACCACAGAGCTGAGGGGTCTGCGTCGCCGTGGAAACCCAAAGGGCCTCCACTCAGCGCCCATGGCTGTGTGCATTACTGTCCGTCCCTCCTCCTGCTTCAGTGCCAGTTCTCTTGCTATTAAACATGATAAATAGCTGCACTAAATGACAACTAAGGGGCACAACAAAAGACACATATATAGTATATGATAAAAATCGCTTAAGTTTGTACTTGTCCAATATACAATGTACTGTAGAGCTGTACCTTCTTGTAAGATACTGAAGAAGACCTGTCTGTCTCTGCCTAAAGCAGTGAAAGTGATAGACTCCCATGGAGTTCCAGTGTGTAGATCCACCATCTGCTTCTCTCTGGTCCGCTCCACGCGGATCCACTTTCTCCTATACCTGCAGAACACAGCAGATGACCATACCACAAGAACAAGCAGATTAGTCTAAGTAGGTGTCTCTGTATTTTTATGCCATACATCTTAAATGTATGGCATAAAACCTGACTTAATAATGAGTTTGTCAGACCAGATGATGTGGTTCCCAGGGCTTGGGTGGAAGTCAAACTGCGTGTGAACCCGTCCACTCTCATGTGCCATGTAGGAAGTCTCCACGCTTAGGTGCTGAGTGTGTGTGGAGTGCTTGGTGATCCAGCTCAGCAGCCAGTGATAGCTCTTGTCCCTGCTGGGGACCTCCAGCGTGATCATGTAGTTCCTGCGGAATAAGATCATCCCCACCTGAGCGCTTTTCCTGGCCAACGCCAAGGCTGTCCCAACCCCAACCAGTCCGAAGCCAGCCCCAAAGTATGGGTTGTCTTTCAGGCTGTCCAGGAAGTCTGACAGGGGCATGGTGATGACTTCTGCACTCCTCCAGTGGATTTAGACTCTATATAGATGTTATAACATCACATACCAAAACACACAGTTCTAAATCCAGTTTATGAGTAAAGGACATATGTAACTCTTCTTAGCTGAAGACCTGCAGCCCAGCGGGTAATCTTACAATCTAATGACAGTGAGTGCCGGCTATTAATGAGACGCCCGTTCGTGTTCAGTAACGTTAATCAATACTCCAAAGGCTTGTCCATAGCCTTTCTGTGTGTAGCAGTTTAGCCAGCTAAGATGCCCATGTGTGCACGGTATGAATGCGGGGTGTAATTCAATAGCGGTAGCATTTGTGGCATCGACCTCTGCTAAACTTCCTGTGTTTGTTAAATATCGCTCCGGCTGTTCGCTTGCTCACAAACATGCGTTCCACTTCCCTACAAGTGCCATATTTACATATATTTTTCCCGCAAGCTAAGATAACCGCTTTCTTAGTATGGTATGTTATAGAGTTGATGCATTTACACTTGAGTGTACGAAACACTACCGCCGAATTTATTTCTAGCAAAAACTGAGAATTGGAAGGATCTGCGACCAAAATCGCGAGAAGCTGATGCTAGTCCATCTAGCGTTAATATTGTTAGCGTATTGATACTAGCTTATATTATTTTAAAAAGTAAGTGAAGCGTCGAGGACTTTCATTTAAAGCTAGCGGAAATTAAAAAGGCCTTTAAGTAATAAGCAGTACAGGTGAAGCTGCCGTACTTCTAAACCGATAAATGTTGATGTTTTGTTTTTTAGACAGAGCACGCTGCGGAAACCCGGGCAGTAGGTCATAATTCAGTTTGTATTTAAGTACCGTAATAAATAGAAATTTTAGGAACTTGCTTTGCATTTCTTGTTTGTGTTTGAGTGTTTTAGGTATGTGTATTTATATCTGCATAACGTTATTCAGTTATTATATGATCATTGATAGCTCAAACCTACGTGAAGAGTAAGTTAGCTTATGCTGTATGTTTATACTATACGTGCCTAGTGCACGGAAAATATTTAAACTAGTCATAAACCATGAGCACAAGTTACAAATGTCTTTCATACTATGTTTAAATCTGTCACATTGTAACTGAATGTTATGCTCTGTTTTGTTTAGACACAATGGAGACAGTCAAACCTCATCAATGTGAAAAATGTGGACAGAGCTTCTCAGACAGTGGCATGCTTGTCTCTCACCCCTGTTCAAAAAGGCCGCCTGCTCCATCCAGTAAAGGGCAGTTGGGCAACTACAAATGCTCTCAATGCAGTGAGGTCTTTTCCAAGCCAAGTGCTCTGAGACACCACTTCAGAATCATTCACAGTGGACACAACCCTAAAGGCCCATTTCCCTGCACCGAGCGGGGCTGCCGGTTCAGCTGCACAGGCCACCAGGAATATCAAGCCCACTTGACATCCACACATGGTCTCTGTCTTATACCCTGCACTTTCCGAGCTTGCAAAGCATCATTCCTCACACAAGCTGAGATCGAGAGACACTTGCAGGGCCACATGCCCTTCGGCTGCTTTCAATGCCAGTTTGTTACTGAAAATGAAAAAGACCTGAGCAACCACCTCCTGGAGCACAACCATCTTTCAGCTTGTACTCAAGGTAAACGTACCATCCACAGGACACAAGGGGCCACTGAATAGTTTGATGACTATGAAAATGAGGTGAATCATATGTAGTGGCCTTCACAGTCACCAGATCTCAGTTGAACACCTATGGAAAATGTTGGAGTGGCGTGTTAGACAGCGTCTCCACCACCGTGGTCAAAATACTACATGAGGGAATATCTTTTGGAAAAATGTTATGTTACACACATCCAGAACTCATTTTTTATGGCTTCAGCTCTGCTGCTATGCCACTGATCATAGGTAGATTTTACATAAAAATGTTGGTACATCTGTTCATAGGTAACGAGGCTGCATCCACAACTGTATGCACTAATGGACTCCACCAGCCCCAGATGTCCAGCAGACCAAAAAGAAACCTGAAGACCAAGTCAGCATTTGCATCATCATTAGCAGAAGATGGGAACAAGGAACAGCCTGAGAGGGAAGGGAACACTATCAATAAAGTGAAAATGACAGCGGAGAGAGAGATTCTTTCAGCAGCGGACACAGCACCACTGCCTTCCAAAGGTATGTACACCCATTTACTTGGTAGATTATAGTGAGCACTTGTATATTAAACTGTAAAATACAGAGAAGTGACACAATAAACATCCCCTATTAATATTGTGAGTGACATTGAGACATATTGGTTAGCATTAAAGACGATTCATTTCTACAGCCTGACTCAAAGGTAGAGAAAGGGAAAGCAATAACACCTGACTATTAATATGAAGGATATTCAGTCTGTACTACATGGTCAAAAGTATGTAGACAGAAGAGCATGACACCCATTTGTTATTGTTGACCATGTCAGAATCAGAATATTTATTGGCCAAGTATGATTTGACACACAAGGAATTTGACTCCAGTACAGAGGCCCTTGGTGTAGCTTGTAAGGAAACAATAAAATAAGAATAATAATAATAAATCATTCCAAAACCATGGACTTTCATATTCTGATGTAATAGCCTCCATTCTGGCAGGCTGTTAACGGTTAAAATAGTTATTGCACCTGTTACTGCAAAACTACAGGTGTGGAGTGTGTCTTACACTGCAAGACAGTAGTGCAGAAGGTTCTAGTTGGCAGTGTAATTTGCTTTTCCACAGCAGACATGTTAACTTGCCCTTGTAGGAAGAACACAGCTGTTACTAATAACATTAACAATAGCTCCTTGTTTGCTTGTCCCAGTAAGCCATGGCAATGTGACATTGAGCCAGGATGAACAATACTAGGATGCTGAAACTGGAGCAGCTAAAGGGAAATCAGCCATCAGATATTTAATAACTTGTGCTTTTCCTGCTGTCACATGTGCTGTCTTCACAAAAAAGGCCTGTTGGCTTATATTTGATTAGTTCATTTGGTCTACTGGGAACAGTGTTGCAACAACAATTGACAGTACCAGGAAATACCAGTGGAAAGACATAATATGTTTTACACTTTTTAAAATACTTCTTATGTGTTAAACAAGTAGGCCAAACAAGTACCACATGTTTAAAATTCATCTCATATGTTCTTGTCCATTAGAGTATCTTGCAGAGGGTGCAGAGCACATTTATCGTACCCACACCTGCCCTATGTGTCGGCGCTGCTTCAAGATGCGCTCCCACCTACAGGAGCACCTCCATTTACATTTTCCTGACCCCAGTCTCCAGTGCCCCACCTGCAAGCGTTACTTCACCAGCAAGAGCAAGCTACGTATACACAGGCTCCGTGAGGCAGGTGAAAAGGTTCACCGTTGCCACTTGTGTGAGTATTCTGCCGTGGAGCGCAATGCAATTCGCCGTCACCTTGTCAGTGTGCATGCTGATGAGGCTGAACAGGACGTAAACAGTCACAGCTATCCTTGCCCCACTTGTGGTCAGAACTTTCACCAAAGCAGGTCACTTAAAGCTCACATGAAGATGCACAACATTCAGCCAGGCAGCAAATCTGTGGCCTGCTTCCAAGATGGTTGTTCCTTCCAGAGTCCTTTGCGCAAAGAACTTCTTAGACATGCTACTGAAGTACACGGAGTCAAGGCGGTAGAATGCCGGCATCATGCCTGTGGTGCCATTTTTCAAAAAGAGATGGAAATGGAGGCTCATTATCAGACACACCTTGCCTATCACTGCTCACAGTGTGATTTCTCTTGCTCCAACAAAACTGTATTCCTCCGGCACCGGCGGCATGGTCACCCAGGGAATGACAAGCTTTGCTGTGACTTCTGCTCCTTCATCACGTTTAACCCTGTGGAATTTGAGCAGCACATTGGACATTTGCATGCCAACGAGAAGATCCATCGCTGTCCTCAGTGCAGTTACGTGACCTCGCATAAACGTGGCTTGAAGAGGCACATGCTGGTGCACAGTGGTGAGGGTGGAGTAGTTTTTATCTTCTAAAGATTTTCACCTTAACCGTATCTTCACTTTTTACTTTTGTGTGTACATTTGTTTGGGTAGCTACTACTGTGCCACTGTTTTTGGACCTTACATCTCTCAACTTTTTTATCTTCTCTGAAAGGTGAGAAGCCCCACAAATGTAGCATGTGTGAATTCAGGTGCCGAGATGAGTCATACCTCTCGAAACATATGCTCACTCACTCAGATGACAAGAACTTTATGTGTGCCGAATGTGGGTATGTCACTAAATGGAAGCATTATCTGAATGTCCATATGAGGAAACATGCTGGAGACCTCAGGTAAATCTTTGGGTATATTTATATCTTGTATTGTTGGGGTACTGCTGCCTACAAGCAGATGTGCTGCATGCTGCAACCTAATTGAATTTAGCTTAAAGCCTCAGCACACACAATTTGTGCATTCCGGTTGACTACCTTACAAATCTTGTGTTCCTTTCGAGTGTTGGTAGTTCCTATCCTTAAACATAATGCTATGTATCAGTGACACAAACAAATATGTAGCTCTTTTTTGAAGGGGGTGCAGCTTTCGCTATATACTATTGTTATGACCACATTTCCTTCTCTACTCCTAGGTATCAGTGTGATCAGTGCCCCTATCGTTGTCACCGCATGGATCAGCTAAATAGCCACAAACTACGACATCAGGCCAAGTCACTCATGTGTGAGATCTGTGCTTATGCCTGCAAACGCAAAAATGAGCTTCGCAATCACATGTTGGCCAAACATTCTGGAGAGCAGAAGCAGCCATCTGTTTATAAGTGCAAATACTGCACGTACACCACCTGCTACCGACAAGCACTTCAAAATCATGAAAACTGCAAACATACCAAGCTAAAAGAGTTTCGCTGTGCCCTCTGTTTCTATTTCTCATTCAGTAACATCAGCCTCTTCCTGCACAAGAGGAAAGCTCATGGGTATGTGCCTGGGGACAAAGCATGGCTAGAGAACTACGCTGCAAAGGAGAAGGAGAGGAACTCAACCGGGTACTTGGAGAGTTTTTACAGTAAGCCCTCAGCAGCTCATGAGCAGGCTGACCAGTCCACTGAAGGACCTCCACCATCTCAGAGAGACCGATCTAAATTTCCTGCTGTGGCAGATCACAGTGCGAGCAAAGAAGCTGTAGTTGGATCGCAAACTGTGGGTGCAGTAAATGTTCTTGATGTTATTTCTCAAGAGGCTGTTAATGCAGGTATTTCAGGCAGTCATCCATCTGTGAATAGTCCAGAAGAGTACTGTACTCTTGTTTTAACTACACTGTCTACCACCGATTATCACACCCATTCATTGCAAAATATAGAGGAAAGCTGCACAAATCAAACTCCAAGGGCAGCCATGTCTAATAGATCACAAGAAAAGCCAGAGTTCTCTACATCTATAAGTTCATCAGAGGAAGATAATGTAGCAGTGACTCATGAAGAGTGTGAACCAAGTGACTTGGATGTCAGCTCTCAGCCTCTGAACATCTCAACCAGTCAACCAGTTGAGCCTGAGATGGAAAGTGATGATGAAACAATCACTTGTACTTTACCAGCTGAGCAAAATCTGCCTTTAGAATCTGAAGTCAGTTTGAAAGCCATGAAGAAATATGACAAAGCCAAAGCAGAAGCCATGGTTTTAGAGGGACAGGTGCAAATGCTTGTGGTGCAGACTAAAGATGTTTATCGCTGTGACAAGTGCTCTTATGTGACCTGTAAGGAGACTGCTTTGAAGTACCACTGCCAGGCTTTGTGCCATGGAAGGATAAAGGGGCACAAGTGCCAGGCCTGCGGTGCACAGTTCAAACAGAGGCGAAGCCTTGATGGTCACCTTTCAAAGAAGTGCCCAGCACTTCCACAAAAAACAAGGACATTTGTAGGCATTTCAAATACATGCTTTGCTACAGAAAGAAGCTCTAATCGAGGTACAGCGGGATCCAAAGAGTTGGCTGAGAGAATGAATTCTGGTCAGACAGAGCTTCTGTCTTCACAAAGTAAGATTTCCACAGATTCATTCCATCAGCAAGAAGAGGAAGTACATGCTTATTTGTCAGACTGTCGAGGCTTTGATGAGAAGGTCCATACATCCAGTGATTCAGGACATCAGCAAAGCGAAACACAGAAAAATTCACATTTGAAAGTCAAGCTTGTGAAAAAACGATTAGCTTCAAGTAAAAAAATCAGAAGTGCATCACTGCAAACAAGGTACAGGAGAACAGAGGATCAGATCCTTTCAGAAGTGGATGATAGTGAGGCAGTCAAAGGCATGGATCAGCACATGATAAACACAGAGAGCATGTCTAAGAAACCTCCGCTCTTCTCTTGTCCAAGCTGTGCATTTAAATGCAATCAGAAAAGAGCATTAGACAGCCATGACAAGAGAGGCTGCATGAAGCCAGATGAAGTCCAGTGCACCATCTGCTCTTTTGTCGCCAAATCTAAAATGACTTTGGCTCATCACATCTTTTATGTTCATAACAAAAAGAAGTTTGGTGTTGCTAAACCTAAACGTTTGCATTGCCAACACTGTACTTTCACTTGTAAGCAACAAAGATGCATGGCACATCATGTTGCACTCAAACACAAAGGTTTAAGGCCTCACCGTTGCCAGTACTGTCCTTTTAGTACCACAAGGCGCTATCGCATGGAAGAGCATGAGTCTCTTCACACAGGAATCGGTCGTCACAAGTGCGATATGTGCGACAAAACCTTTGGGGCTGTGACCAAATTGCGTCAGCACAAGATGCGCATCCATGACAAACATCCTACACATTTCTGCTCATTGTGCGACTTCAAAGGCTACACGCTGGATGACATAAGGCGGCACAACCTCAGATGCCACACAGGAGAGTTAAAGCATGCTTGCACTCACTGTGATTCTCGCTTTAGTTCAGAAGTTGCTCTAAGGAACCATTGTAAGCGCACACACCAGCTCCAGGTCTGTTTCTCATGCAAGCAGTGCAACTACACATGTAGCACTGAGGTCGCACTGAAGAGCCACCAACAAAGCAAGCACACTCAGGTAAAGTGTACCACCTGCCAAGAGTCTTTTCAGACAAAAGAAAGCCTGGAGGTACATCAGAGGACCCACCTGGCACATCAGTGTCAGCTGTGTCCCTTTGCTGCCAAAACAAGGCGGCTGTTAGCTCAGCACCTTCTGAATGAACATGAGGAGGGAGCTCTGGAGGACAAGCCGCTCAGGTGCAGCAGTTGCAAATTTGCTTGTCAGCATCAGCTGGTGTTAGAGCAGCATCTCCGTTCACATGGTGGCAAGCGTCTGTACAAATGCACAGACTGTGAGTATTCCACCCCAAACAAGCAGAAGATCACGTGGCACATTCGCATACACACTGGGGAGAAGCCTTACAGCTGCGAGCAGTGCAGTTACACCTGCACTGATCCAAGTAGGTTGAAGGTAAGCGCAAAGATTTCTGGGCAATTTGTAACATAACACCTCAGACAAACTTTTTTTAAAGTGCTGTTTTAGATTAAAAATGATTGATGATGGAATTTGGTCTTTTCTCTTCTTCACAAAGCACCATACTTCATTGGCGGCAAGGAAACATTTAGTTGGTTTAGATACAACCCAAGAATCTTTTTAGATGACTTTTTCATCCTTATGACACAGCTGCTTGTCACATCAATTCTTAATATGATAATAAACTATAGGCTACATATAAACACTACACTATAGTACCCTAAGAAGGCCAAATGCCAAAACGCCATAATTCTTCAAACATTTGCTAAGGCCTTAATGTGTCTTAATAATATAACATCCGTTATATTATCTAAAAAGTTGTGCCATAGCAATGAACCGTTTCTGAGAAAACAGTAAGAAATTAGCTTTAAATGAGGCTAACATAAATCTGTCTCTATTCTTCTCCCTGTATAAGAAAAGCACAATTTTAATGATAAAGTAGCTTGTTAATTCAGTTGCAAAACAAAGATGCATTTAATTATGACCAGTAATGGACTGTAAACAACAACAAATTATAAAATTAGTTATAATGGAAAGGAAAGATGAGAGAATGCAGCGTTTGTAGATACTTTGATTTCCTCTCACATTCCTATTATGTATGCTCTACAGCAGTGATTATTATTATTTTTATTTTTTTTATTATAGCTCCATATGAGGGTTCACCAAGAAGAGAAGAAGTACCTTTGTCCAGACTGTGGTTACAAATGCAAGTGGGCAACTCAGCTGAAGTATCACATGACCAAGCACACAGGTACCAGCTAGACATAAATGTTAGTGATTCAGGGAGCTACCTGCACAGTATTTTTGTGGACTTAGTTGGAAAAATATTGCCCTCAGTCTCTTTGTCTGCAAAAACTGCTGTTATGTCATGAATGTGAAGCAGGCTGTTTCTATAAATCATCAGTGCTCAGTGAGACTTCCCAAGATTTGTAACATGCGTCTTTGCTTGCACAGTTTAGTAGCACATTTTTAGAACAATCATCTGAATTTGGTTTTGTAAGTGTAGTTTACATATTTGTGTTAATTTAATGCTCCTGAGGAAAAAAAATTGTTGTGTGCAGGAGAGAAGCCATATGCCTGTGATGAGTGTGAGTACCGCACCAACAGAGCGGACGCCCTACGTGCCCACCGGGACACACAGCACTGTGATATGCGCCCTTACATCTGTGAAACGTGTGGCAAGGCCTTCAAGACCAGTTTTATATTGAAGACCCACCAGCGACAGCACAGTGAAGATCGGCCATATACATGCGGCGTGTGCCACAAGGCCTTCCGATGGCCAGCGGGTCTCAGACATCATTACCTCTCTCACACAAAGCAGCAACCATTCTGCTGCCGCCACTGTTCCTACAGAGCAAAACAGAAGTTCCAGGTGGTCAAGCATTTGCAGAGACATCACCCAGAGATGTCAGTAGAGCAGGGGGTAGTGAGGGACTCAGAAGCTGTTAGCTTGACCCTGAAGGAGGCTTTGCAGGGGTCACTGGATGAGAGAGCAGCAGAAGTGGAGGAAGGAAATGTCAATGAGGTAGAGGAAGTAGCTGAAGAGGTTGTGCAGAGGAGAAGATAGTGAGATAAAACACAGACGAGATGGCACAATACTGTAGATGCAGTGTTAAATTCAGTCTTCCACTGTTAACAGTGACATATCTGTCAATTTCTATTTAGTCACTTCATTTTATTATAATGTAAAAGGTTAATAAAACACAGAAGTACCAATTGTTAAGTGACAGAATGTGGACTGGATAGAGAGTGTGTGTGTGTGTGTGTGTGTGCATATATCTATTCCTGCTTACACTACACACACACATTGTGGGGCCTCTGCCTTCCTCATGGGGACCAGACAACTATATATAAGGTTACATCCATCCATTATCTATACCGCTTATTCCTGCATAGGGTCACAGGAGGCTGGAGCCAATCCACCCTGGACAGGTCACCAGTGTTTCACAGGGCTGACATGTAGACAAACAACCACACACATGGACAGTTTAGAGTCAGCAGTCAACCTAAGCTGCACGTCTTTGGACTGTGGGAGGAAGCCGGAGCACCCGGTGAGAACCCACGCAGGCACAGGGAGAACATCCAGAATCCCAGGCTGGCTGGGGCTTGAACCTTCTTACTGTGAGGCAACAGCGCTAACCGCTGTTCTGCCCGTAGAAACTTCATACAATGACAAAATGAACTTGGACATTAAATGAGTCAAATATGTTTGCGTATAATTTTATTCAATAATGTTTAACTGTTCTGAAAATGTCTTGCATGTACATATTTACAGGCCTATATATACATATACATACATTCACACACTGTACATTTACTTTATACACAACATACCTTAAGGAACATTAGTAAATAGAAAGTCAGGCACTAAATTCTAGATTAAACATGAAGCAAAGCCACAAGTCCATTACAATAATAGGTTTCAATGCTGATACTAGGCAGTAATATTTTTTAAACTGGATCAGACACTTTGTTATTTCCCAGGTACTGTTGCATCCAGATGTACAGTACAATTAAGGGTAAACGGGCATATTTAGGTACTTGACACATGCAGCAATCCTTTTTCCTCCAGTACTAGAGAAATATTAAAAAGCTTGTGAGTAATACTTTAATGAAAATGTAACTTGTAATGGAAGTAAATGGCAGCAGATGTTACTTTAAACTTTAGAGCTTTCCATAGTTTACATGAACTCTTCTTACTAGTTTTCTGTTTACTTAATGAATTCATAGATTGGCCTGGCAGATGACAAACCTTGCTTTGTCATTGTCAATAATGATCCCAAGTACCTGATTGAATCAATTTCAATAAAATCCTTTTACTTGAAAAGTCCAGCATCTTTGTTTAAATAGATAATGTTACAAATCAAAAAGCAAGCCTGATTTCTGACATGTTCACTGCCAATTGATAGTTTAATCTTTTGGAAACTATTCAGTGTTACACCCAGGCAAATACCCCAAACCCTGATGTATTCAAATATTCACTATTCTTGTCAGGTTTTTGTAGACTTTGGTCTTGCGACCACCTCTGGCTTCATATCCTCAGATATGACTTGTTCATGTGAGCTCTGTAATGCTGACGTTGACAAAGATGGATGCAGGAGGAATAGCTGTTCCATCTTTGGAGAGTAGATGTATGTGACGATATCCTGCACAGAGGCAGAAGAGTTACGCTTGAATAAGCTTTTAAACACAGTGGCACTGCATGAAACAGACATTTCCCTGCCTTGGACACAACCTAAAGCCTGATCTGATTTAATAAATATTGTAGTGAGCTGTTAGTGTCATGCTGTGTGTTTTGACTCACTGTCTGCTCTGCTCTGCTCACCTGCTTGCATGCATATGAATGGAAGAGTGAACTGTCCAATGAAGTCATTCCTGGATGTCTTATCATAGTCCTCCACCACAAAGCGAACCAGGGCCAGCTCAGGGGTATGGATGATGAAATTTAGAGTTTCATTCCACAATGGGTTAAAACCTGCAGGTGGAGGCCAATGGCTTTTTTCATTTTCTAATGTTTCAGTTTATTCTATTATTCTGACACATATACATTTTCACATCCTTGCCCTTATAGAATTAAATGTATAAAATGCTGAACACTCTCACCATTGTTGTTAATGTGACTGGTCTCATCTTTGGCCTGTTCCTGTGGCACCCCATAGATCTCCACTCTGACCAGGGGGTCTACAATTGAGCCCTCTTTCTGATTCACTTTTGGTAGTTGCTGCCCACTTATCACCTGATAAACACAAGCATATTTGCATATTAGATACAAAACCCACTGTATTGTAATTGCACACTTTTTTTCAGTTTTTTGACATTACATGCATCACATTTATACAACTATAGACTGATGACAATAGAAGCTACACACTGCAACTGCCAACCAGCTAGACTTTCATGTAGTTCTGAACCTGTATGGATAAGCGGAGTGGTCTGTAGTTATGCCGCTCCTCGGGTTTCTCTGGACTGAACTGAGTGTTGCTGTCTCTCATGAAGTCAGGCTTGAGGACATAACCACAGCAGTTGTTTTGCCTGAACAGCCCATCGTTCAGATCCATTTCCAGACCAGCTGTCTGGAAGTTCAGAGCCACTTTAGGAAAGAGAGGGAAATAATGCAATTGACAAAGATTGTTTTTATTGTGGTTGACTGTATCCCATGATTTCCTAGTCTTTTACCCAGAGCAGGCAACACCAGTTTGAAGCCATGTGACGTCCTGTCAAACTCCCCCAGCTGTGAGGGTGATGTTCTGTATCTGACACTGACCTCTAACCTCCGTGCAGGAGGAGGTGGGGGTGGCAGTGATGGTATCCCTAAAGAGAATTTCTCCTTAATACACTGTTACAAAAGACAATTTATTTGTGTATGTTCCTGTGTGATATTTCTATGTGTAAATTGCTAAATTTGGTGCCCATTTTGTGTAGTGGTCTGCAGCACAGGCCATGAAATAGCAATGTCCCTGGTTCAGTTACACCTTTGATGCCTGCCACTCTCTCCCCATGTTCCCTGTCAGTCTCTGCTGTCAACTTTCTAATAAAGACGGCTTTGCGTAGTCAGACTGTGAACTTCTCTCGGCTTAAAACTACAGTTGGGCTTACAAATTCATAGCAACAGTTATAACAGTTGCTACTCATATTTGAATAAATTAAACTATACCAAACTGACAATTTGACAGCACTGTCACTGTCCAGGATCTTTTATTTTTTACTATAGCTCCATATGAGAGTTCACCAAGAAGAGAAGAAGTAACTTTGTCCAGACTGTGGTTACAAATGCAAGTGGGCGACTCAGCTGAAGTATCACACGACCAAGCACACGTAAACGTTAGTGATTCAGGGAGCTACTTGCACAGACAGTGAGTGAGTTATTTGTATTTGAAAATGAGTCAGTGTGCTTGGTTCACCCTAAAATGTTTTACTCACAATCCCACTGCAAATAAGTTGCACTTTTGTAAGTTTGGTCTCAAAGATTTGCTGTTCCTGCAACAGCTCCTTTTAAACCAGCTTTGAAGAACCAAAACATCCAGACTCATGTGAAATCATTAAAATTACAATCTAAATAACTCACTTATCCATGTAGGAAGAACAGCACCCAGGTGTTAAGACTGAAAACAGCTAACATCTGTGATTTTAGAGAAAAGGTTTGGCTCAACCAGCAGTGGACAGTCCTCTCCTCACCTATCTGGCAACCCATGTTCCACATGTCCTGTGGGTTGTAGTTAGAGGAGTCTGTCCTCAGGCCACTGGGGAAGATCCTGGTCAGCTGTCTTGTGTTGTACTGCACAAAATCTGTCCCTGAGGAAAGGTTTGTAGAGAATAAAGCTGTCTATAACATGAATGCAGAGAAATCAATCTGTTTAACTCAGATACAGTTATAAAAAATATAATCACACAGAAAGACACATTGTATTACACATGTATAAAATATAGTCATAAAAGAGGTTTACAGTTTTATCTGAGGAAAATGACATCCACCTCAGACAGAATAGTTCTCCACCCCTTTCCAAAATACATTGTTCCCTCTTGTTCATGGTACCTGCTTCCTTAGCTAGCCTCTTGGCCTTGGATTCAGAGAATGAAGACATCTCATAGCATTTGGCATGTAAACGAGCATGGTCAAAGCCATGGAAGTGAACACTCTTGCAGTAAACCACCAAGTCTGACAGCTGCCTTGACAGTTTGGACTTCTGCAAATTGAGAGAATAAAATGCAAAATCTGTCCACAAGCAAAACCTGTTTCTATCACACTAAACATTAACACTTTACCGTGAGCAGTGGCCAGACAGTGAAAGGTAACCCTATAATTAGAGCCCAGTAATTAACTAGACAAATAAATAAATTTTTAAAATCATTTCTTTAATAATTAAATGAAGTTTCAACTAATTGGTGTGAAATTAGTGTAAAAACCTGGAAATTAAACAAAATTGCAACCAATTACTGTGAAAGAAGTGTTCTGGAAAAATACTATCTACGCAGTTATTTGCCCTGAATTTAAACAAAACATGTAATAACTGGACTAAAGAAACGTTTTCTTGAAAAGCAACTTGAGTCACACATGCAGGTAACCAGTAATGACTCTAACTCACTCAATATTTTTATGAAAAATAGAAAAGTAATATTTACCAGTAGCACTGAATATGAATTATTTAATGATCAAATAATTGCTTGGGATGAAAAGAAATGGAGATGGGCTGTAATTTTTTTTCATTTGGTGGTAATTTCATATTAGCTGTGGACCAATTATAGAATAATTACTATCAGATTGCTAGTCTGTAATTTATAGGGTTACCAGTATGAAAAATAACAATTCTATTATATTTCCCAGTGAAAGCTTTAAAGCAGCAATGAAATCTGAGTGCTGGGAATTCCTTCCCTCTGCCTCATCAACTCTAATTAAATGATTAAAACTACAAATGCTTCCAGCTAATCACCCATTACCAAGCAATGAAATGCTGTAGCTGCAGTGAAAAATTAATACCCCTTAAGCTCAAGTAATGGTCTTGGTTAATTTGCCCACTTAAATATGAAAAAACAGTTGTGTTTTCATAGAGAGCAGTTTTCCCAACACAGTGAATACTATTTTGTAGTCTTACTTCACTATTATCCTATCCTATCTATTTGTCCCCATATCTTTTTTCTTTCATACATCCTTGTTTCCTGTTTCATTTAAATATTTCCCTTCTTTTACTCCAGTCTCGCCTCTCAATCTCTTCTGTCCCAACCTAGTTTCCTGTCTCTCTTTATTATCAAGCTCCACTACAGAGAGCAGATCCAGCACCTGACACGGTGGCGTTCAGATAACAATTTTGTCTTGAGCACCAACAAGACTAAGGAAGTCATTGTGGATTATAGGAGGTCCAGGAAGACAAACTATGCTCCTCTTCTCATACACGGGGAGGTGGTGGAGCAAGTGGATAACATCAAACATCACATCTGACCTGACCTGGTCTCTGAACACATCCTACCTGGTGAAGAAAGCCCAGCAAAGGCTTTTCTTCCTCAG